AATAGCAGAAAATGGAGTAGCCCTTCCGGTTGTTTCTTGGGGGAATTCCTTTGGTGACCTATGTGTATCATTTCTTTTAGCTTATATTCCTTTCCTCCTCTTACCTCCTTTATCTACCTTAAGTCCACTGTCACTTTATTTCTGATTGCTTTTAGAGCACATCTTTCCTCAAATTTTGGACCTATCAAGAGTTTAATGTGACACAAAGTGAGACTATTTAAGCCATCCCTTTGTTAAAAACTAGCATTCTCAGCTTCCTCTACCAACTTTCATCTCACTTTACCTCCAGTGAACTCCCTATGTTAGAGGGCTAATTCTTATACAGTAATATCACTTTATGAGGGCTTCTTTTTCAGCTCTTCTCTGTCATTCTGTAGTGTTTAACATTTTACTAGCTTTCCCCCTGGCCTGTCCATGTCTGTGGGTCTTATCTCCAATCAAAGAATCACTGGACAGCTTGTCCAGATCTTACAGTTGATTTGAAAAGCAGTGTGTTTCCTAATAATAGGTTAAGGTGTCAGCTATGTGGTCCCTTCCTTCCTTGTTTGTTTTTTGTTGTTGTTGTTTTTTCCAGTACTGGGCATCATAATCAGGGCCTCTTGCATGCTAGGCAAGTCTCACTAAGTTACTTAGGCTGATTTTGAACTCCTGCTTTAGCCTCCCAAGGAGCTGGGTTTTAGACAGGTGCCTCCATGCATGGCTTTATTTCTTCTTCATTTTGATCCATCTACTTCATTTGATATGTAATTTTATAATCTCAAGTTTGAGATTTTATGTGATTCTTTGTTTCTTTGAAAATTTTTCCTACTTATTATTTGTTCTTATTTTTATTGATTTTAGAAGAGAGTAGTAAAATTAAATTTTACACTGTCACCAGAAAATATTATATTTTGAGGAATTCTCAGTTTTTTTCTGATTTTAATAAAATATAGTTTATGACAAAACTTATACTGGCATCAGTTTTTCTGTTTTAATTATACTTTCTCTCCCTTTATATAGCTGTTCTCTATTTAGTCAATTATTTCTATAATGTTTTTATCTTCAGAAAGGTGTGTTTAGCTTATGAGTATAAAAAATCTTTATGTTTGAGTGGCTCAGGAGACTAAGGCTGGCGGATCATGAGTTCAAAGCCAGCCTCAGCAACCTTTTGAGGCCCTAAGCAACTTAGCTAGACCCTATCTCTAAATAAAATACGAAAAGGGCTGAAGGTATGGCTCACTGGTTAAGCACCTCTAGTACCAAAAACGAAAACAAACAAAAAAATGTTTTGTTTTGTCAGAAAGAAAAATCGGTCCTCTAGAAATATTTGAAGCAGTGATTAATGATTGTGATCTTGTCTCTCAGTTTCTTCAAAGTAAATGCAGAGAGATAATAATAGCTTATATTTCTGTTTGTATTTACTTTCAGAGTAATAGGTTAATGGGTGCCATAATTCTTTTTTTTATCCTATCATTTATTTTCCAGAAATTTAATATTCTTTAAATTCTCTCTCTCCCTCCCTCCCTCTCTCTTTCTGTCCCCCACTTTCTCTCCCCCCCATCCCTCTCTCTCTTTTTCTCTCTCTTTGTACCAGGCATTGAATCCAGGGACACTTAACCACTGAGCCACATCCACAGACCTTTTAATTTTTTATTTTGATACAGGGTCTTGCTAAGTTGCTTAGGGCCTTTTTAAATTGCTGAGGCTGGCTTTGAATATTATATCATCCTCTTGCCTCAGCCTCCTGAGCTACTGGGATTACAGGCATGCACCACCACACCTGGCAATATTTCATAATATTCACAAAGGTATTCTATATCTTTTTCTCATTCTTATGGGTTTTTTTAAAGTATTTTTATTAGCACATGGAGTTTGTTCTTGATGAGACAAGTTCAGATTGTTTAAGTATTATGTCTTTATTTCTTTTATATCTTCCCTCACCAGTGTGTGTACAACACTGCAAATAATTTTTAAAACAAGTTAGATCTATATTTTCAACAGGAATTATTAATACTTTTAAAGCCAAAAACCTCCTAGCTTTCTCTTTTCCATTATTTTCTACTATAATCCCACTTAAAACATAGCATTTATGTGCTAAAGGTACATATAATTATTTTTTAAATTAAGATTTGTTAAAAACTAGAGTGAGACAGTTCATATGCATAGTAGTTCTGGTTTTCTTAATCTCATCCTTTTTAAAACCACGAGTGTAGACTATTTAACCACAAAGGTGTCTTCGACTGCCTTAGTGTGGACTGATACTTATGTCTTTCAATTTGGGTTTATTTTATTTTTTTTCATATTGAAACATTTCAATCTGTACTTATAGCTTTGTCTGTTTGTATTACATACAAGAACATTTTTAGACATTCTTACCCTCCAGAAATTTAACATTGATATGTTAATATTATTTAATATCAGTCTATATTCAAAAACTTTCAGATATCCCCCCCGCAAGTTTTTTGATACTAGGAATTGAACCCAGGCACCACTGAGTTGTATCCCCAGCCCTTTTTATTTTTTATTTTGAGACAGGGTATCATGATATTTCATAATGTTACTAAGTTGTCCAGGGTGGCCTTCAACTTGTCATCATCTTGTCTCAGCCTACTCTGGCTTCAGTGACTGTGTGTGGCACAGTACGTAACTCTAAAATGTTCTTCATAGATTTTTTTTCTTCTTAATAGATCAAGGATCACATTTTAAAACTGTTGGTTATGTTGTCTCTGTACTGTCCTTTAATAGAAAACAGTGCTTTTTTTATGGCATTAACATATTTGGAGAGCCCCTCATTTGAATTTGTCTGGATATTTTCTTCATGATTCAGTTCAGGATAAACATACTGGTAGTAAAGTAATGTCCATTTATTTTTACTGTACTACTCACTTAATCCATGCTATGCATTGCAAAATCGCAGTGTATACTTGAAACTGCATATAGTAGTGAACTCTCTATATACTATTTTTTATCCTACAAATTCATACCTATGTTAAAATTTAGTTTATACAGTAGGCATAGTAAGGGATTAACAACAATTAATAATAAAATAAAACATTTATGACAATATACTATAATAAAATTGTCAGTATCACTACTCTTGCTTTTGGGAGCCACTATTAAGTAAGTCACTTGAATACTAGCAATATGATACTTAAGTGGTTGATCTGATAGCCAAGGTGGCTACTAAGTGACAAATGGGCAGATGGTATATACAGTATGGATTTGCTCGACAATGGGTGATGCAGTTCCTGAGTAGAATGGAACCATGATATCATGATATTTCATAATGTTACTCAGAATCATATGTAATCAAACTTATGAATTTTTTGTTGCTGGAATTTTCCATTTGGTATTTTTGGATCACAGTTCACTGTGGGTAATTGAAACCATGCAAAGTGAAACCAAAGATAAGGGAGACTACAGTACATTATATCAGAAAACAACAAAATTATGTCAGTTTGTCTCACTATGCTGGTGCTAAATCACTTCACTAAAATGGTATATACCAGATTGTCCCTTGTAAGAAAGTTCTCTTTATAATTACTAACTTAATGTTGCATAGTTTGAAATTTATTTATTGACAACTATACATATTCTTTTTAATATAAATTATAAACATGTTTGTGTTATAGTAGATGCTAGCAGCAGTGCTATTTATGGATTAATTTCTGAAATGCACTACTAATTTCCCATTTTCTGTCATGTAAAAAATTGCTTATAATGTTTTTTCAGGTTTCTCTAGAGGATAAGATGAAAATTTTAGGTAAATAAGACATTTAAATAATGGTCGTTAAAATATGTTAATTTTAGGCTCTAGAACTCATTTCATTTGTTCATTTTTTTCCATAAATATCTTGTTTCCTATAATATATCACCTTATGTTTTGTATTTATTGGTAATCTTTCTCTCAGTTAACTCTTATACCAGTTGTTACAACCAAGTATTTTTTCAGTCATTCTTTCTGCACTTATTAACTGACAAATTTTGTGTAAAGATCAGTTTCTTTCCTTTTTTAAATATTTGGTTTTCTTTGTGAACTCATGAATTATTTTTTACCATTATTATAATTTATCATCATCAGTATTATTTTGGATGTCCAGATTGTCCCCAATTTGTTTTGTGGAAGTTTTCTCTAGTCACATTCATGCATCCTTTCAATAAGTTTTCTTTTATCTTTTAACACTTCTTTGCTCTCTGGAACAATACGTACCAGGTTCATCTTGTATTTTCATTAGTCTGTTAATGCTGAGGATCTTCATTTGCTCTATTCTAAAGTAAACACTTGTTGTAGAATTACTCCATTGATACCACATTTAGCAAAAAACCCATCAAGTTCATTATTTCTGGGTTGGGGTTGTGGCTCAGCGGTAGAGTGCATATTATGTTCAACTACAACCAAAAAAATATTCAAAAAAGTGTTTATTTCTGATGATGTGCACCATCTTTTTGTCCAATATATCCTCACTGTATAGTCTGTGCTCCCATTTGTGTCACTTTCTATCCATCAGATATCTCACTGAAGTCACTGTTCTGTGATTAAAAATTACTTGAATTATTTTCCCTCATGTTGGTTATATTATTAATTTTATGTACAGATAGTTTTGTTTCTATATTTGTTTATATTCACTTTTCGAGTTTCCCTTTTTCATTCCTTTTATATTTAAATTTGCTTTTGGAATATTTGAAATATTTGTACGGATACAAAATATATTTTGGAATATGTTAACACAGTTGTGTTAGTCACAAAGATCCATTTCTATCTCTGTAACTTTCATCTTGTTCCATTTCCCTCCACCCTCATCTTTCTTTTAGAAAGCCATTTTCATTAATTTCTTTGTGTCCCTCCCTCATTGTGTGTGTGTGTGTGTTTCTTTCTTAAACACAAAAGGTTTTCTTAAAGAAGGAGTTTCTTGTGTTTTTTTTTTGTTTGTTTTTTAGCTTTTGTATGCTTTCAAAATAGCATTCATTTTGATGTATCCTGAAAGTTTTATTTTTTATATTTCTTTATCCTTTATAACTAGGAGGTCCTGGACGATCTACCATGCCAACCCCAGGAAATACTGCAGCTTTTCGTGCTTCGCTCTGGACCAATATGGAGAAACTTATGGATCATATCTGTGCTATATGTGTACAGGTAAATATTTCACGGGATGCAAAAAACATTGATTATTAACTCACTCCTGGTTATTCAAAATTGTATCATTTGGGGCAGGTTTTTTAAAATCTGAGCATTCAGCCAGGTCTTCTGTTCCACTCTTGGAATCCCACCCATTTGGGAGGCTGAGTTGGGAAGATCACAAAAGGCCAGCCTGGGAAATTAGTGAGATACTGTCTTAAAATAAAAAATAATTTTAAGCAAATACTCTCTAGCAGAGCAGCCCTGAATTTAATACTAACCCCCACAATCTCTTAGCATTCAAACACCTCATTAACTGATTTTAATATGTGTAAAGCTCTAGCACAATGCCATTTCCTTTCCCTTATAAGTGTAATTGTTTGTCATAGATGTCAGCAGCAATACTATTTACAGAGTAGTTTCTGAAATGTACCTTGTTTTACCTTGTTTGTTTGTTTGTTTTTAAGTACCCTAGCTTTACATTTGTCTTATTTAAAAATACCCAATTATATATACTCTTACTTCTCCCTCCCTTACAATCTTTTTTAGGTGCAGCATCTACAAAAAGTATTAACTAAGAAGAGGGATCCTGTTTCACACATTTGTTTCATTGAAGAAATAGTCAAGGTATATTTAAACAAAGCTGTTTTTACATCTTCCTTTAAGAAGGTAGAAAGATATGTACCAGGATCATTTGTGTTACTCCCTTACAGCACCTGCATATCCATTGGCAGTAGGGAAACTTATTTATTGACAACTATACATATTCTTTTTAATATAAATGTGAACATGTTTGTATTATAGTAGATGCTAGTAGCAGTCCTATTTATGGATTAATTTCTGAAATGCACTACTAATTTCCCATTTTCTGTCATGTAAAAAATTACTTACAATGTTTTTTCAAGTTTCTCTGGAGGATAAGATGAAAATTTTTGGTAAATAAGACATTTAAATAATGGTCATTATAATATATTCATTTTAGGCTCTAGAACTCATTTCATTTGTTCATTTTTTTCATAAAGCACATTGCTTTATTCATTTTCCATGTTCTGAAATTTCCCTTCTGTCATTTGCAAATCTGCTAGCCTCATAGACTATAAGAATATCTTCCAAGCATAGGGATACTTAATCTTACATCTCATTCATTATTTTTGATGGGTTTTTTATTATTAAAAGAATAATTAATCTGTATTTTATTTATTATTAAGTCCTAATGTCTAGTACTCCCCCCCCCCAAAAAAAAAAAGGTTTTTCAGGTTTCCATCATCATAGTATAGGTAGTTTCACACGTAAGTTCACAGTTTTTAAATATTTTATATACTGTAGTGAGGTAATTTGTCACACCAAGTTTGGTGATTTACTGAAAACAGTTACAGGATCCAACCTATATTTGTACTCAGGCCTATGATTTATTCCAGTGAAAGGATATGAAGCATAATGAGCAAAGAGGAAAGGTATATGGAGCAAGGTCCAAAGGAAACCAGGTACAAGCTTCCAGGAGTCCTTGGGCTCTGGAGTTACATGAAGCTGGTTTAATTCCTGCAATAGGAATTAATGTTATGATAGCATGATAGGATGTTTCCACTAAGGAAGCCCTCCTTGAAGGAACTGTCCTGGGTTTTTCTCAAGGACTAGTGACTGCCTAAGATGGACCAAAATTCTAGACTCACTGAAGAAAAGCAGATGTTCAGCATAAACCACATTTTTTATACAGCTTACGTAAAGTGAGCAACTTTTATCAGTTTGAGAATCATGGTATCCCTTACAAAACCAAGGACTGAGCTTGCAAGTTGGCCTTTCTATGGCCATTTCAGATCTACTATGTTAGTTAATTTCTGCACAATTTACTGAACATTAGCACATATTTATTTACTTCACCCTTATTTCTACTTGACTTTCAATTGTATAAAAGAAGGAATAAGGTATTTTTGTCCATTTGTAAAGTCACTAACTTTTTTGCATTTGCTAATGGATAGGATAATTAATATCAGACCTTCATTTTTATAGGCAAACAACTATATATGTGCTGTTTTCACCCATTTGTTGTGATTTGGCCATCTTTACACATAAACTGATTCACTTGTCTCTATGTGCAGTGACCACATTTAAGGCTTTTACTATTTAATTATTTTGTATTTTTAATTCCCCTTTAACAGCTAATAGTCTACAGTCAACGTAAGAATAATTTTAATGAAACTATTTCTATAAAGGAAAGATTTTCTTTCATGTACAAGCTAGAGTCAAAAGGAAGAGAAAGGTCGGGGGAATCTCATTGAATTGAAAGAGAGATCAGTAGAATAGAGGAAAGGAACCAGGGGAAGAGAGGGAAGGGGGAAGGAACAGGAAAAATACTGGAGAATGATGTTGACCAAATTATATTGCCATATTGTGTGTATATATGAATATATAATGAATCCAACCATTATGTACAGCTATAATGCACCAATGAAAATGGAGAGGAAAAGATTAAAATAAAGAAGTAATAGTGGTACTAAAGAGGCTTATGTTTGTGATACTATTATATTGTGCAGTTTTTTTACATAAAAACTCAGATCAGTGCTTGTCAACAATAAATTATTATAGTAAATGAAAATTGGCAATTTGTGTAGGCCAGATTTTAAATGCATTTGATTCAATGAGTTTGTAATTTATAGTTTGCAAATTATGATGGAATTCCTATGTTTAATGTCTACTTGCTAGCTTGTTTCATTTATACATAAAGTTTTATTTTATATTTTCCTTTGTTAAATAATTTTTCTAATTATTATCCTTTTGCTGTAGTTTAATATTTGTAGATTTTTAAAAAAATATTTGCTTTTGTTTTTTAGAGCAGCTTTAAGTTATAAAAACGCTGAGCACAAAGTATGGATGTTATGCATTATGCAAATCTCATGTACCATACAAAGCTAACTAAGGCTAAGAGCAAATTCTCAAGTAAATGTGAACCTTAATATAAGTTAATATAAGAATAGTTGTTCATCATTTGTAACAAGGGCATCACACCAATGCAAGATGCATAATGTGTTATGCAAATGTATAATGTCTTGCATCTGACATGAGAGTATATTATACAGAGTAGCCTTCCCAGTTTCCATTCCCCTAAAATTTCCTTACCCTCTACCTATTCACAACTTTCCAACATCCTTCCCCACCCTCTGACGACCACTGATTCATATCTCTAGATTGTCTTTTCCAGAATGTTATATATCGTAGTCATACAATACGAAGCCTTTTCATACTGGCTTCTTTCACTTAGAAATATGCATGTAAGGGGCTGGAGTTCTGGCTCAGTGGTAGAGCACTTGCCTAGCATGTGTGAGGCACTGGGTTCAATTCTCACCACCACATATAAATAAATAAAAGTCCATAAACAACTAATTTATATATATATATATATTATATATATATATATATATATATATATATATATATACACACATACATACACACACACATATACATACATACACACACACACATATATATATCGAAATATGCATTAAGGGTTCTGTACATGCTTGCATGGCTTGGTAGCTTATTTCTTTTTATCATTAATTAGAATCCTTTTGTATGCATATACCTCTCTTATTCATCCATTTACCTATTGAATGGCATCTTGATTGCTTCTGAATTTTGCAATTTTAAGTAAAGCTGCTATAAATATTATTGTGTAGTTTTCAATCAATTTTTAAGTCTATGGGATTTTTAGTTCATTTGGGTAAATGAGAGCACTTGCTAGATCATATAGTTAGACTTCATTTAGCTTAAGAAGAAACTGCCAAATTGTTAGAAGTAGCTTTCTCATTTTTGATTCCCACCAGAAACGAAAGTGAGTTCTTGATGCTACACTTATCAACATCATTTGGTATTGTCACTGTTTTGGATTTTAGATAATTCAGTCGTTATGTTGTGGTATCTTATAACTTTAATTTGTATTTCTCTATGAATTTTATAAAATTATGTTCATGGAAAATTTTTTCCTTAAGTTCTAAGACATTTTTATATAGGGGAAAAAAAAACTGGCCTGCCACACTAGTTATTTATTGTGTGTGTGTGTGTGTATTTTATATATATATATATATATATATATATATATATATATATATATATATATTATAATCTGGACTATAGTTATGGTGGAGATTCTTTTTCAGTATTTTAAAATAACTACAATAATTATCTTAAAAGTAAGATAGGTTTTTAGCATTTGGAAAACTGAATCTTAAAGGTCTTCTTTCTTTATACCTGTTCAAGCAAAGTCAAAGGCAAGATAGTATAGTGAATAAGAACTTAAGCTAAGCTTTGTGAATACTGATTATGCAAAGGTTATATAACATTTAGAATCTCAGATATCAAATGGAGATGGTAATACTTATCATAAAACTGTAGTATTATGAGAGAAAATGAAGCAAAATGTAGCTTTAATTCAGAGACTGGCTAGTATAATATTATTTTAGTATTTTTAATCTGAAATTTATATTTAGGGTTCATAAACTAACGAAATGCTAGGTACAAAAAGAACCCTGCCATAATGAAAATCACATTTTAAAAAAGTTTTAATAACATAATTTGCCTGTATATTAATTCATGAAAAATATCAAAAATTTAAATCATTGATCTCATTCTAAAACAAGTCAATATCAGATACTTATTTTAAACATATCAAGATTTGTGTCATTTAAATAAAGTGGATTATGTATGATCTAACATGGTAATTTTGTAGATATAAAAATAGTGAAAATAAGGGGCTGTGGCTGTGGCTGGGCAGTAGAGCAGTTGCCTAGCATGTGTGAGGCACTGGGCTCAATCTTCGGCACCACGTAAAAATAAATAAATAAAATAAAGGTATTGTGTCCATCTACAACTAAAAAAATTAAAAATTGTGAAAATAACTTATTTGTGTGTTATCAAGTCTTGTGAGAATTATTAATTCGTTTATATTCTTTTTTTTTTAAATCAGGGAAAGATAAACATTTGGACTTATTTTAAAGCTTTTAGTTGTCAGCTTAATGTCACCAAATCTGCCTTGGTGTTTGCTAAGCTGTTGATTTTTAAATAACAGAAAAAAACTGTGTGTGCTAGTATTCACTGTTTCTATACTTGATTAGTTGAGAAGGATTTGTTTTAGATGTCTATCATGTCAAAGAATATAAAGCAATCGTAATTGGGTCAAATTATATCAAATATAATAAAATCTTAGGGATATTTTAAGTGTAGAGCCTTTTGAATTGAGGTAACTTAAATTGAAGTAACTATTTCATTTTCTGCTTAATTTAATAAATGCCCTGGATGACTTGTAAAATTAGACTGCTATCTTTGGTTCATATGATCATTAGAAAACATACCTATCTGTTCATATAATTCATAACATTTTTATGCTTAATGTTCTTTTTCTGTTACTCTATTGTATTTTCTAAACCTTGCACAAATGGATAGATCATTTATTTTTTAAATGAGAATTTTTGGCCTATTTTCAGACATTTAGAAGATTAATTTTGATATCTTTTAAAACCAGCTAAGAGTTCACTGTATAATCATTAATACTGCGTATAACACTTTGCTTGAAATGAATGTAGCAAATTATTGACAAATTATTCAGAAATACATAGTGGAATACAGGTTGTAGA